TCCATGTCTGGGTGCCTTAGTACTGGTTCGGCAGAAAAAAGTCTCTTTAGTCTCTCAAACGCTGCTTGGCACTCCATTGTCCATTTAGTGGCTGGCTAGGTTTTACTGAGGATGTTCCCTTCGTTTTTAGTAAGTTAGTGAGGGGCAAGGCTATCTGTGCAAATGAGGGGATGAATTGGCGGTAAAAATTTGCAAAGCCCAGGAAACTTTGTAGTTGCTTTCTTGTGCGGGGTGGTGCCCATTCTAATACTGCTCTGACCTTCTCTGGGTCCATTTCAATGCCCTGTGGGGATATGCGATAGCCTAGGTAGTCTATCCTTTCCTGGTGGAATTCGCATTTTGAGAGTTTGGCATATAGGTGAGCGGCTCGCAGCTTCTTTAAAACCGCTCTGACAAGTTTGACGTGTTCTTCTTTTGTTTCGGTAAAGATAAGAATGTCGTCCAAGTAAACAAGGACCCCCTTAAACAGGTGCTCCCTTAGAACGTCATTGATTAATTGCATAAAGACTGCAGGGCCCCCTTGTAATCCAAATGGCAAGACTTTGAATTGATAGCACCCCATGGGGCAGTTAAATGCAGTCTTCCATTCGTCCCCTTCCTTGATTCTCACTCGATAGTAAGCTTCCCTTAAGTCTAGTTTAGAAAAAATTTTCCCTTTCGATAGGTGTGACAGCATGTCTTTCATGAGGGGCAGCGGGTATAGGTTGCTTTCACTGATTGTATTCAGGGCCCTATAATCCACGCATAAACGTAAAGAGCCATCCTTCTTCTCTCTAAAAAGGACCGGGGCAGCCACTTTAGGCTTGGCTGGCTCAATGAAACCTCTCTCCAGGTTTTTTTTTATAAATCTTTCCATTTCCTCCTTCTCCTTTGGGCTCATGGAGTATAATCTGGGCTTCGGGAGTTTTGCCCCAGGCTTGAATTCAATGGTACAGTCTGTGGGTCGGTGGGGGGGAAGCTCATTCGCCCTCTCCTCACTGAAGACTTCAGCAAGGTCCCTATATTCCTCTGGTATTTCTGTTAATCTTTTTTCCTCTCCTATGGATGCTTTTTCTATTCTTGATTCTGGTAGCCTCCCTTGGGGTTTTAAGTCCATAGGGTCCCCCTTCGGGAATTTGATTTCTGTCGTCCTCCAATTTACCCAGGGGTTCCATTTTTTCAACCATTCCATCCCTAGAATCATTGGGCATTCCATACCTGGGGTCACCACAAACGTTAAGTCCTCTTCATGGTTGCCCAGGGAGAGATGTATTGGCAAAGTGGCTAGGGTAGCTGGCACCCCCCCTGCTATGGATCCATCTAGCTGGCCAAATGAGATTGGTTGTTCCAGTCTCCTGGATGGGATGCCCAGATTCCCCACTAGTGTTGGGCTAATGAGGCAGCGGGTACAGCCAGAGTCTATTAAGGCTTTCACCTTCACAGCTTCGGGCATGGGGGGATTAATATAGTCACTGTTTTGAAGATGGGTGTGATGCATCCACTTACCAGGGGTTCGCCCTCCGAGCTGTCATCTGAGGCATCCACCGGCCCTGTGGTGTAGGCTGGAGTCCTTTCCCTTTGGTGAGCAGAGGTGGGGGTTTCTGCAATTTCCATCATTCTCATGGCCGTTTCTTTTGGCTTAGCTGAATACTTTCCGGGTTTGTTGATTGGGGATCTGTCTGGGTTGTGCTGGGGGGCCTTTGAGCGGCATTCTACAGCTCGATGCCCTTCTCTTCCGCACTTGAAACATCTCATTTGCTTCTTGGCTGTATCCGATGATTTCACCGGTTGGTGTGTCAGCTCAGGCGGGGGGCGGCTCCATTGTTTTCCTCGGCGGTGCCTCTTCAATATGTCGATCTCTGCTTCCTCTGCCAAGACGTACCATTCCTCAAGTCGATGTGGGTCCCCTCGGGGTAGGCAAGCATCATATAGATCATAGTTTAGTCCGTCTTTGAAATGGCCAAGGAGGATGTCTTCTGGCCAATTCAGTTTGCTGGCAATGGCCCGGAATTCTTGTGTATACTCAGCCACTGGGCGTTTGCCCTGCCTCATCGTTGTTATTTTTTCACGGGCTTTGCGATCAGCCAGGGGGTCTTCAAATCGTCTTCTCAAAGAGGACATGAAACGGTTGAAGTTACTGAGTTCTGGGGCATTGGAGTCATGCAAGTTCACTACCCAATCCGCAGCTGGTCCATCCAGGGCAGATTGCACGATCCGGATGCGGGCTTTGTCGCTGGGAATATCCTGCCCATATTCCTCCATGTAGCTGAGGACTTGGGTTAGAAAAAACCCCAAGCGTGTTGGCTCCCCTTTGAATTTCACTTCCAACGGTGGACGTCTTGGAATGGATCGGTGCCTCTGTTGTGGGTGGTAGTGCCTTCCGTCCAGATTGCCATCTGTGGTCCGGTAGGGGGTGGGAGCTCCTGGATCAGTAGATGTCCCTGGGGTTGCAGGTTCCACGTCCCCCTCGGTGTCTCTCCCTTTGCGGCTCCAGGAACTGGGGCAGCCGTAGGGTTCAGTATTCTCCTCTCCTAGGGAGCTGAGAGTTCTCTTCATCAGGTCAATAGCTTTCTCTAGGATCCAGTCTGAGTACGGTGCCCAGCTTCCTCCCTCTTCACTTGCGTGCAGGGATTTCTCCATCTCCTGCTTCCATTCTGGTTGCTTGGTCCCCCGTCTCAGGGTCACCTTTCTTGATTCCTTTCCCCACTCACTTTTCTTTCCAACGCCCATCGACCAGCGAGGCTTGTGGTCCTGTGTCTCCACCACTTCTTCTCCTGAGGAATCTGGCCTCTCGGATCCCAACATCTGGCAAGGTTCCAACTGGGTCAGCGGCTCTCTTTCCAGGGAGTTTTCCCCCTCTCTTGCTCCATTGTCTGACATGGTAAATTTTTGCAAAATCCCCCGGCAAGGGTCTTCCTTCCAGGTGGATTAATTTTGCAAGTCCTGTCTAATGTAAGGACCCACCCCACTTTGCATCTTAAGAAGACAGAACTCTTGGAATAATTCTTCCAACAGGAATCCTTTATTAAGAGAAAATGGTTGCAGGCATGCTAGACAGGACTTGGGGTTCAAGCTCTCCCATTCAAGGTTTTAAGGGGTTCCCCAGTAGTCCCACCCAATCAACCCCCCTTCCAGTGATAGTTTCAAGTATCACAATTCCATCCCCTTTCTTCTTCCGTCTGGATGGAGACTTCAGATAACTACATGAAAGGCAATTACTCTTCTTTGATATGTTAAAGCTTAGAGGCCACAATAAACACACATTCAGTCCTTTGAAGTGTGTTGAAGGAAGTGAGGGCCATAAAGCCCCTTTGCTCTCCCCCTTTTCTCCCTCTTATGGCAGAATCCAGAGAAGGCAGAATTGGGAGTTTCTATGTTTGATAATTAAAGATGAAATATAATTGGATTCTGACATCCTGAAGGCGAAGCTTCCCTGGAGAAAAATCAAGAGAATGAAGTAGAGGCCAACTCACTAAGTAAGGCTGCAGACAGTCAATGATTGCAAAGATTTCTTGGGTGCTAGAAGAGAATTTTCTTGGTGATGATGTCCTCTCGAACAGGAAGCCTACAGGTAGATGCTGGAAAGCCACCAAATGAGGATGCTTGAATTTGGGATTTGTTAGGTCAAACAGGAAGGGGAAGACCAGACATCTGAGGAGATTTACCAACACTAGAATTTGTAGCAGAAATTGTTTGAAATGGAATTTATTATTGCGGGCAATGAGATATAAATGCTTTTTTATTTCTCTCAGAATATGACATACGACGGATACATAAAGGGAAGACCTTCCAGGTGGGAAGGCCTGAAGTAATAGTCATTTGCAAGAATTTGCAATGAGTCCCCAAAAATAAGACCCAACTGGAAAATAAACCCTAGCATGATTTTTCAGGACTCTCCTAATATAAGCCCTACCCCCCCCCAAAAAAAATCAGCCCCAGTTAGGATTGTTAGCCATACAACAGACATATTGAATTATAAAACAACAATAATAATAATATTGACATTAATGTTTAAAATAAATGATAACATAAATTATAAATAAGTATTTGTATATACCGTACCCAAGCGGGCGCCTTCGGACTGTATATAAACCGTTGAACTCAAGACATCGTCAGCCACTGCGTACTTGCCACCTCCTGTGCGTGCACCGACGATCTCTTGAGTTCAGCAGCAGCCACCTCCCGCTAACCCCTTGGCCGGCGCACTCTGGATCTGCAAAACCCATGCAGTGCAGGTGAGTGGGAGCCTGCTACCGCTGGGCCGTCCCTCTCTGTTCCACTGTCTGCTTGCCTGCAATTGCAGTGGGGCACGCAGCTGTGCTGCGTATCCAGCGGGCCAGTGCCAGCGTCACAAAGTGAGGTAAGGCAGGGAAGGGTGAAGCTGCCCCAAGCACCCTGCACCCATGCTCCTTGGGGCCCCGCAGCCAGGCCATCCTGGCCCCACCACTTGCCTTGCGGCGGCACCAGCAACAGCAACCCCATCCAGCAGGAGCCCTGCCTCCCCTCAGCCCCGTCCCCCAGACCAGGGAGCCCAGCCTAGGCAAGGAGAATGAGCACAGCAGGAGCTCAAGGGCCAGGCCAAGGGGGTCGGTGAGGCTCCTCAGATGGATCAGGCCCCAGTGCCCACCCCAGTCCTGCCCGGGCCCCCATAGGGAAACCATAATGCCTACCACTCCTGGGCAACCACAATCCCTAACACCCCCCCAGGGCAAACACAATGTTTCACCCTACCCTTAACTCACCCACGGTAACCCCAATACCTAACCCTAACACACACACACACACACACACACAGGCACCACAATGCTTAACCCTAACTCTACCCCCACCCAGGACCACCACAATGCTTAACCCTAACTGTAAACCCCCCCCCCCGGCAACCACAATCCCTAACTCTTAACCCTTCCCTCCCCAGGGTCCCTTCCAACATCATCATCATCATCATTATTATTATTATTAATCAAGTTTGACACTCCTGAGTTAATGGTAGATTTAAAAGGAATAATCTTTTCACCCCCCAGACAAGATGAGTGCAAAAAGAAAGAGTTATTCCGTCGAGTTCAAGAAAGCCATCGTGGAGGACTCTCGGGGCAAGAATCTAACAGCTTTCTGCAAGGAGAAGGTGCTGGATGTCCGAATGGTCCGAAAATGGCGAGCAGAGTACAAGAACCTCAGCCAGCAGGTGGACAAGGGAAACGCTAAGAAGCGCAAGTGTGGATCCGGTCGGCAGCCGTTATTTCCCGAACTGGAGGGCAACATCTGTGAATGGATTGCTGACAGGAGAGCAAAGGCTTTGGTTGTGCGCAGGGCTGACATTCAAGCATTTGCCCTTGCAATGGCACCACAGTTAGAGATATCCCCAGAATTCAAAGCATCACAGCACTGGCTGGATGACTTCCTTCATCGGTATAAACTGTCCCTTAAGAAGATCAATAACATTGTTGAAGCTGAACATTAAACGTGCACTTTCATTCAAGTCCTTTGTTGATGGCATCGACTTTTCTAAATAGGGTTAGGCATGGTGGTTGCCCTACGGGGGGGGGGGGGAGAGAAGGGTTAGGGTTAGGCATTGTGGTGGCCCAGGGGGGGAAGGGTTAGGGTTAGGTATTGTGGCCCTGGGGGGGGAGGGTTAGGGTTAGGCATTATGCTGGCCCTGGGGGAGAAGGGTTAGGGTTAGGCATCGTGGTGGCCCCAGGGCTCCTGGCAGAGCCAGGGGGCGTCCAGGGATCTCTGGTGGAGTAGAGCAAGACCAGGGTAGGCGCCAGGGCCTGATCCACCTTAGGAGCCTCACCAACCCCCTTTGGCTGGCCCTTGAGCTCCTGCTGTGCTCGCTCTCCTTCCCTGGGCTGGATTTCCCGGTCTGGTGGGGGGCGGTGGGGCTGCTGCTACTGGTGCTGCCACCATGAGGCAAGGCGAGGTAGGTGGCGGGACGGGGGTGATCTGGTTGCGGAGCCCCAAGGAATGCAGGTGCGTGGAGCAGCTTCGCCACCGGTCTCGCCTCACGTGGCGGCGGCACCTGCCCACTGGACATGCTGCACAGCTGCTTGCCCTGTTGCAACCATGGGCAAGCAGATGGTGGGAAGGAGAGGGCCGGCCTGGCGGTAGCAGTGCTCCCAATCACCTGTGCTGCATGGGCTTTGCAGCCCCACAGTGCGCTGGCCAAGGGGCCGGCGGGCTGCTGCCAGACACTGTCGGCCCTCACATGCTTGCCGCCTCCTCTACATGAAAAAAATAAGACATTGCCCCCAAATAAGCCTTTATGGGTCTTTTGGAGCAAAAATAAATATAAGACCCGATCTTATTTTCGGGGAAACAGGTATTTTTCTGAGGTCTGGGATTAAAGGAAAGCCAGCAAAACCAGCAGGACCATAAAGGCACTTGGGGGGGGGGGGGGCGGAGCCATTGAAGCTTTCCTGCCTGAAGAAGGTGATGAAAGCTTAAATGAAGCCAATTTTCAGTTTGGGAAAAAGATTGGCATTAAGAGGAGGCTGAGACAGTGTGCAACCATCAGGGTTCTGGATATTCCACGTGCGCAAGAATAAACTGAGTAAATATTTACACTGTTAGAAAATTAACAGCACACACACACACCCTTGTTATTGAAAGGGAAGCATTCCCTCAGCAAAAGAAATCTATATTTCCTCAGAGTATAGGAAGTTTTGGTTGGAAAACACGCCTCATGAAGAACAGGAGAACCCACACAGCAGGGAAATCATATAAATGTTCAAACTGCAGCAAAGATTTCAACATGAAATCCACTCTGATTAAATATGAAAAGTCCCATATAGGAGGAATGCCATATGAATGCACTGAATGTGGAAAAGCCTTTTTTTTGGGGGGGGGGGAAGGGATTCTAGTCAAGCCACCCCACCCCACCCACCTCCACTCCTGAGAATCCACACAGGTGAAAAGCCACATAAATATTGGCAAAAGCTGCATTGGGTGAGATGCCCTTATCAAACATAAGAGGACTATACAGAAGAGAAGCAATATGAATGCCAAATCCAACTTGATGGCTCATAAGCAGATTTGTACCAGAGAAAAGCACACAAATGCTCAGAGCATTAAAAAGATCCTATGGTTCTTTTCTCTGTCATAAACACATAAAAATCCATCCAGGAGGGATGCCCTAGAGCAGTGGTTCTCAACCTTTTTAATGCCGCGACCCCCAACCGGTCGTAAGTCGAGGACTACTCAACCGGTCGTAAGTCGAGGACTACTCAACCGGTCGTAAGTCGACGACTACTCAACTGGTGCAGCACCGTTTGCAGAATGGGACTTTTGGTGGGCTCAGCAGGGCAGACACAGCCTGGACAATTCCTATTGGCCTTTGAAAGCCAATAGAATTAGACTCTATTCAAGAGAGTCTATTCTATTGGCTTTCAAAAGCCAATAGAATAAAAGGGAGTAGCACAGCTAAGGAAAAGGGGGGGGGGAATGGCGGACTGCGTTGTTTGGCGACTCCCGTGAAATGGTCGTTCAACCCCAAATGGGGTCCCGACCCACAGGTTGAGAACCACTGCCTTAGAGGACTGGGTTGGTGTTCCAGTCTAGCCTGCTGACTCAGAGATTATGGAAATGATATTAGCATTGGAGTGAAACAGCAGATGACCAAGAATCAAGCACAAGGATTGGTGGCTTTTAAATATATTGACACATTGAAATGTTTTAAAGAAGTGCTTGTTTCGCATTGAAGTTCTTTGTTCAAACTCTGGGTTATCAGGCAAGTTAAAAATGGTCTTGGTTAGTTGCTTTCACCTGGGATGGGTAGAACTGAATAAATCAGCAAGTCAATATCCGTAAGGGATGTTGCTTTGTGTCATGTGGCACTTTCCAGAATATATTTGGTCTCTGCAGAGGTTTTGGGAGAGGAACTGCATCCTAACGTAGTAAAACCTAAGCAGGGAATATTTGAATGGCAAAAGGAATTATCTACAAGTACCCATTCTTCATCCACCCAATTTTATCTTGATCCTAACATTACATATCTTGTAATTTTATTAATTAAACTTGTGATTAAAATACATCCAATGCCATTGCATGTCAGGCAGCAAGCATATACCTTTGTCTATCTATCTTCAATAGAAATTAAAATAATTTTATTTGGTGACAATTTATATTTAAATAAATCATATCTTTCAATATCTCAGGGGTTGGCCACAAAGAAGAGGGATTCAAGCTATTCTCCAAAGCACCTAAAGGCAAGACAAGAAGTAATGGATGGAAACTAATCAAGGAGAGAAGCAACCTAGAACTAAGGAGAAATTTCCTGACAGTTAGAACAATTAACAACTTGTCAGAGACTGTACAGTCATTTGTCTGAAATGGTATAAGGTTTCCTACCTGAGCAGGGGGTTGAACTAGATGATCTCCAAGGTCCCTTTCTACTAATACTACTACTATTTTTATTTTTATTAATTTTATTATTATTATTATTTGGCTGCCCTTGTCATAACAATGGTTCTGGGTTGTAGGAAAAGTTAAAATTACATTACATTTAAATCAATAAGAAATAATAAATCTTAGCAAATAAGAAGCATGGCACCTACAAACCAAGCAGAACTGGGATATTTTGTTGTTTTGCTGCACTAAGTCTACAGGAAAAAAAATTGTACAGGAACTAGAATTACCATTTCTGCTGATCGAGAAATACACACTTTCATTCTTTTACGCCTTACTTACTTTTACGCCTTACTTCATTTCCCCTCCCCCCCCCGGAGCTTGACTAAGTATTGGGATGAAAGACCACCAGGAAACTCTTTAGAAGAGGCATCACAGAGGAAGCCTATAACAACTTCTCTTCCTTTATATTATCAAGTAAGCAAGACGGCTTATGCCTTATGCTGTAGTAAACATTACACTCAAAAGCGAATTTGGCAAGACTTTGGAGAACTTGCCTAGGACGGCCCATACGAGCCTTGAGCAGCCGGACGTCGCTGAACACCGGATGGTAGCGAGCAATGGATTTCTCCGCACGCTATCACGATATTTTCCAGAAACCAAACTTCATCGCTTAACCCAGGGGTCTTCAAACTTGGCCCTTTTATGACTTGTGGACTTCAACTCCCAGAATTCCTCAGCCAGCGCCAGAATTCCTCAGCCAGGCACGCTGGCTGAGGAATTCTGGGATTTGAAGTCCACAAGTCATAAAAGGGCCAAGTTTGAAGACCCCTGGCTTACTTAACCTGTGGAAATGCAGCCTGAGCTCCGCCTCCTAAGGCGACCTGGCCTCTCCCCCTCCCGTCCGGAAAGGACGCGAATGGTCGGCCTGGCTGCAGCCTCATCTGGAAGAGAGACGAGTGGCCGGCAGAACCGGGCAAAGAGGAGCACCGGGTGCGAGGAGAGGCGGCGGAGAGTCGCTGCCTGGAAGGCAGGCAGGCAAGGCAGGCGCGGGACTTCCCAGGGAAGAAGGCAGCGGTCCCCTTCGGATCGGGGATCCCTTTTTGTTTTCCTTCCCGCCTGCACGTGCATGGCAGCCCAGAGGTTGAACCCTTTGCTCCGAGAAACAGGTGCACTTTTGCACTTGTTTTGTGGGGAAGGGGAGGAGGAGAAGCACCGTCGCTCTTGTTTTGGGGGAAGGGGGAAGTCCTTCCTGGATTTGGGATCTCAGACTTTTATTCCATGTACCTGTTACTTTGATCCAGTTGTGGCTTTTGAATGAGGCAGTTAGAACTTCTTGCGACTGCTTTGTCGCTCCCAGTTTTCACTAGCCTGCACGGTAAGATGACAGAGCGTGCTGGAGGCCCCGGAAATTAATTATATCAATTATTCTATTACTATTTAATAGATTTGTTTGAAATATGTGTTGGGCAGAATTTTCTATCAGAGGATGAATAGAGCAGAGGTCTTCAAACTTGGCCCTTTTATGACTTGTGAACTTCAACTCCCAGAATTCCTCAGCCAGCTTCTGCTGAGGAATTCTGGGAGTTGAAGTCCATAAGTCATAAACGGGCCAAGTTTGAAGACCCCTGATATAGAGGAAGACCTCGTTTACCAACTGCCTCCTGTAGCGACCATTTGGGGGGGGGAGTTTATATTCAAATTGTAGGGGCCCCCATCTCAGCCAAACAAGTCTGGTCAACTCTCAACAGGTTATCAGCAATGAAAAGCAAGTTAAAAATCAAAATACAAACTTTTTTTCTTAACCTTTACAATCTCTGCAGCATCCTTCAATCTCATAATAATACTATTGTTAATATTGTATATTTGGTTTGTAGGGCCTCCCATCTCATCTAAGCAACTCTGCAATTCTTGACAATGTGGAAGTCCTAGACCTGCAGGCAGGTAAGTGGCTGCCACTGGTTGGGGGAGGGAATGGGGGTGTGCATGGCAGTGTAGGGGCAGTGCTGTATGGGTTAGGCGGTCACATACGTGTCAGCAGATGTGGGGGACTGCAGGGAAGTTGTTATGCAGGTCAGTGTGTATGTTCAGTAGGTGCAGCATGGGTGAGGGACTGGGAGTGCAGCACAGGTTAGGGAGGGTGTGTTGTGTACAAGCAGGTGTGTGAGGGAAGGTGATGATCAGGAGGCTGCAATTCAATGGTGAAAAAAGTAAGATTCTGCATTTAGGCAAGAAAAAACAAATGTACAGGTATAGTATAGGTGGTATCTTGCTCAATAGTAGTAACTGGGAGACGGATCTCAGAATCCTAGTGGACAGTCACTTAAATATGAGCCAGCAGTGTGCTGCAGACGTCAAAAAAGCCAACACAGTGCTAGGCTGCATTAACAGAGGGATAGAATCAAGATCATGTGAAGTGTTAATACCATTTTACAATGCCTTGGTAAGGCCACACTTGGAATACTGCATCTAGTTTTGATCACCACGATGTAAAAAGATGTTGAGACTCTAGAAAGGGTACAGAGAAGAGCAACAAAGATGATTAGGGGACTGGAGGCTAAAACATATAAGGAACAGCTGCTGGAATTGGGTATGTCTAGTTTAACGAAGAGAAGGACAAGGGGGGACAGGATAGCAGTGTTCCAATATCTCAGGGGCTGCCACAAAGAAGAGGGAGTCAGGCTATTTTCCAAGGCGCCTGAAGGCAGGACAAGAAGCAACGGATGGAAACTAATCAAGGAGAGAAGCAACCTAGAACTAAGGAGAAACTTCCTGACAGTTAGAACAATTAACCAGTGGAACAACCTGCCTCCAGAAGCAGTGAACATGCCAAAACGGGAAGTTTTTAAGAAGAGACTGGACAGCCATTTGTCCGAAATAGTATAGAGTTTCCTGCCTGAGCAGGGGGTTGGACTAGATGACCTCCAAGGTCCCTTCCAACTTTATTATTGTTGTTGTTGTTGTTTGGGGAGAGTTTGTGGTAGTACAGATGGGCTTGCAAGGGTATGAGGGAGGCACGGCAAGCATCAAGGAGCATGCATAGGATTGTGTGTGTGATAGGTAAGGAAATATGTTTGAAACAGTGACCCAATGGGTCATGGATTCCCTAGTATACTACTCAAACTCTCATTGAGTTTATCAGTTTGTCTGTTTGTACTCTCAAGTTAGCACAAGCACCAGATAAAAGTTCTGTGGAAAACAGGGTGGTGGGTGGTGGTTGTGCACGCTACCTAGATCCCGGGCATGGGCAGATGAAGCTTCACTTGCTTGCACAGCCCAGTTTCTAACGGGCCACTGACAGGTACCGGGGGTTGGGGACCCCCTGCATTACACCGTAACATTTTTTGAATCAAGGCACCTAAAATCCTCTAGCTTAAAGTTAACGCATTAAAATCCAGAACCGATTCATTCTGCGAAATTGAAATTTCCAAGATGTTCAGACCAGTTTTATTCACAAAATTGTGGTTATTATAGTGTTTTCTCCCAGATCATGCAATCATGATCTCTGACTCTCTCTGCCAGTTTCCCATAACCAAAGTCAGTGGGGAAGCTGGCAGGAAGTCAGAAGTCGCTCCCTGTCTCACTGTTTTTTGGCCTACCTGTGTTCATTCTGTTTATCGGTTTAGGTAAGTAAATATTGACTTATTGTTAAATTTTGTTTGCTGGTACAAGTAATCCTCAGCTTAAAGCAGTTTGTTCAGTGACTGTTCGAAGTTAACAACGGTACTGAAAAAAGTGACTTATGGCGGTTTTTCACACTTATGACCGTTGCAGCCTCCCCAGGGTCACGTGATCAAAATTCACACATTTGACAACTGACTCATTTTTATGATGGTTGCAGTGTCCCAAGGTCACGTCATCACCTTTTGCAACCTTCTGACGAGCAAAGTCAATGGGGCAGCCAGATTCACTTAACGACTGTGTTACCAACTTAACAACTTCAGAGATTCACTTAACAACTGTGGCAAGAAATGTGAAATGGGGCAAAACTCACGTAACAACTGTCTCGTTTAGCAACAGAAATTTTGGGCATGCTTCTACCTATACAAATGTTCTGTTTATAATATACAATCTCCTTAGGTGATGACAGCACCAGCCAGGCTTGGGATAAAAAAATATTGTCAACCTAATTATGCCCGGTGGAAAGAGAAGGCGAAAGTCGTGGTCAAAAGATGACCACAAATGTCGTCGGAATGCAGCAAGGAGAAGAGAACAAGAATCGGATGAGGCTAGAGCTGCTCGACTCCAGGATCAGAGAGTCAGGACAAAGAGAAAGAGAGGAAGAGAGACAGGGGAAGAGAGGCATGTCCGTCTCCAGAAAGACAAGGAAAGACAGAGACAGAGAAGAGAGAGAGAGACAGAGGAAAAGAGGCATGCCCGCCTTCAGGAGCAGAGAGAAAGAACCAGGAGAAGACGGTACGAAGAAACGGTGGAGGAAAGAGCTGCACGTCTCCAGAAAGACAGAGAAAGACACAGAATGAGGAGACAAGCGGAGACGGAGAAGAAGCGGGAGGATCCACCTGAGAATATGTGGCGAAGAGAAATTAGTGCGGGAGTTGCAGAACACAATCCCTGCCTTCGACAACAAAGCCTCAACAGAGAAAAAACAAAGCAAAATGCACAGCTGGTATGGTGTAATATTTCTGCCGAGGTTGGTGCGATGGCCAAAGTCTGCCCTCATTGTCATGCCTAACAACTTTTCTTTCAGAAGATGACCCAACGAGTCACAGGGTTGTCTGGTTTATTCTATCGCTGTCAGATACATCCATTTGCTAGAGTTTAATATAATTTGCCTGCAATATTTGACTTTGGGCTTGTGTGTGTGTTGGGCAGCGTTTTCCATCAGAGGATGATATACAGCTAGACCTCGCTTACCAACTGCCTCACACAACGACTAATAACTTTGTGACCAAGACTTGCATTTATGGCCTTTCCATCATCTCTCAGTCACATCGTTACGATGATGACGACGACGATGGTGATTATTGTTTACGTGATTTGTAGGCCCCCTATCTCAGTGATGGCAAACCTTTTAGAGACCGAGTGCCCAAACTGTAACCCAAAACCCACTTATGCATTGTCGGGTGCCGGGTGGGTGTGGCCCATTGGGTGGGCACTGTTGCAGTGGTAACGGCAGACTGGGTGGGACTAAAAAGTTCAATCAATCAATTCCAATTTTGCAAGATCTTTTTTTTCCCACGAGAAGTTGAAATTGACTGATTGATTGAACCTTTTTTTTTTTTTTTTTGGCCTAAAGCGAAAAGGTTTTATAAAACCCAGCTGAAGGCCTAGGACTGGGGCAATGGCGCGAGTGCCCACAGAGAGGGCTCTGAGTGCCACCTCTGGCACCCGTGCCATAGGTTCGCCACCACTGCCCTATCTCATCAAAGAAACCCTGGGCAGCTCAGAACAGTTTAAAACAAGTTAAAAACCAATATGAAAACATGGGAACCGTCCATAATCAATTTAAAAAACAAAACAAAATTGCATTCCATAACAGTATTCACCCTACGGTAGGTCAATACGGCCCTTTTAAGAGATCCTCACCTTTGCCAGACCCAGATATGGTGGGAAGCCATGTCTTCAGGCCTTCTAAAGGCCAAGCAGATTGGAACCAATGACAGGTCCTGGAAGATAATGCCTCCTGCAGCAGCCATGAAAAATTATGACTATGAAAAAAAACATGTGACTAATTCCTACATTTGTGACCATTGCAGGGGTGCTGTGGTCACATAGTCACCATGTGTCCTCTATCCAACCAGCTTGCAACACACGGTCAGTGGAGAAATTGGCACTAAAATTGTCCCAAAGGTGCTTTTTCAGGAGGCAACTGGACTTTCTTGTTTTTCTTTGAAGACGTTTCGCTTCCCATCCACAAGCTTCTTCAGCTCTGACTAGATCAGTGGTTCTCAATCTGTGGGTCGGGACCCCATTTGGGGTCGAATGACCATTTCACGGGGGTCATCAAACAACACAGTCCGCCATTTCCCCCCCCCCTTTTCCTTAGCTGTGCTACTCCCTTTTATTCTATTGGCTTTTGAAAGCCAATAGAATAGACTCTCTTGAACAGAGTCTAATTCTATTGGCTTTCAAAGGCCAATAGGAATTGTCCAAGCTGTCTCTGCCCTGCTGAGCCCACCAAAAGTCCCATTCTGCAAACGGTGCTGCACCAGTTGAGTAGTCCTCGACTTACGACCGGTTGAGTAGTCCTCGACTTACGACCGGTTGGGGGTCGCGGCATTAAAAAGGTTGAGAATCACTGGACTAGATGGTGGGGAGTGGACCATGGCCATGTGATTTTCACTTAGTGAGCACAATGTTTAGCAACAGTTTCCAATCCCAATTTGTGGTTGCTAAGCGAGGACTAGTTGTATATCCCTTTGTCTACAGCAGTGGTTCTCAACCTTTTTAATGCCGCGACCCCCAACCGGTAATAAGTCGAGGACTACTCAACCGGTCGTAAGTCGAGGACTACTCAACTGGTGCAGCACTGTTTGCAGAATGGGACTTTTGGTGGGCTCAGCAGGGCAGAGACAGCCTGGACAATTCCTAGTGGCTTTTGAAAGCCAATAGAATTAGACTCTATTCAAGAGAGTCTATTCTATTGGCTTTCAAAAGCCAATAGAATAAAAGGGAGTAGCACAGCTAAGGAAAAGGGGGGAAAAAATGGCAGACTGCGTTGTTTGGCGACCCCCGTGAAATGGTCGTTCAACCCCAAATGGGGTCCTGACCCACAGGTTGAGAACCACTGGACTAGATGGTGGGGAGTGGACCATGGCCATGTGACTTTCACTTAGTGAGCACAATGTTTAGCAACAGTTTCCAGTCCCAATTTGTGTTGCTAAGCGAGGACTAGTTGTATATCCCTTTGTCTACAGCAGTGGTTCTCAACCTTTTTAATGCCGCGACCCCCCAACCGGTCGTAAGTCGGGGACTACTCAACCGGTCGTAAGTCGAGGACTACTCAACTGGTGCAGCACTGTTTGCAGAATGGGACTTTTGGCGGGCTCAGCAGGGCAGAGACAGCCTGGACAATTCCTATTGGCTGTTGAAAGCCAATAGAATTAGACTCTATTCAAGAGAGTCTATTCTATTGGCTTTCAAAAGCCAATAGAATAAAAGGGAGTAGCACAGCTAAGGAAAAGGGGGGACAAATGGCGGACTGCGTTGTTTGGCGACCCCCGTGAAATGGTCGTTCGACCCCAAATGGGGTCCTGACCCACAGGTTGAGAACCACTGGTCTACAGAAAATAATTTTCTTGTTCACTTGCAACTGCCGTCTAAACAAGAGTAGGGCGGAATGACCTTGCCCTAAACTGAATCACTGATCAAATAAAGAGGTTTTCACACCCCTTTGAAAGGGCAGAATTTCCCAGAGACCAAGGGAGCTTGTTTCAGACTCAGAGGACCTTGTACGTAAAGGCCCCAAACTTGCAGACCCCAACCCTGAGCAAGGGAGGCTCCGAGGATTCTGGGAAGAGAGAAAGATGGAGGGACACCAGAGGGGGACTGAGAGGTTTGAAGAACCTGTGGCTTCAATTTATTTGTTTTTTTTTTTTTAATTTCAGTTATATTAGGGAGCTACCAAGCATCATCGGAGATCTAAATCAGGGCTTTTCAACCTTTTCACCCATTGTATCACTTTTAGGATATGGCTACATCCAAGTACCACCAGTCGCCTAGCAAGGTGTCAAAAACTTGATTCCCCCCCCCAAAAAGGAAAAAAGTGATAAAGTACAGGTAGTCCTCGACTTATAACAGTTCGCTTAGTGACTGTTCGAAGTTACAATGGCACTGAAAAAAGTGCCCCCCAAGCCACAGCTGAGCAAGACACTTGCCTGCCCACCCGGTGGCGCTCTTCCTCCTGTCTGAGGTTTTCATTGTTGTGAGCATTTCTGTTGAGGATTGGCAGCGGGGGTGGGGTATGACACTGTGACCGTCATAAATATGAATCAGTTGCCAAGCATCTGAATGTAAATCACAAGACCCTGGAGATGCTGCAACATTCCAGCTGATCGGCGCTTCTTCTGGGCTCAGCAGAAGTGCCAGGATCAGTGCTGCTTTCCAGCTGATTGATGCTTCTTCAGGGCTCAGCAGAAGCACCAGGATCAGCGCCAAGCTCCAGCTGGAGTCTGGCGCTGATCCTGGCGCTTCCACTGAGTCCTGACAGCTCCGAAGAAGCGCCGATCAGCTGGAAAACAGAACTGATCCTGGTGCTTCCGCTGAGCTCTGACAGCCCTGCAGCTCCAGCCATCTCTCGCTCAGGCTTGTGTGGTACTACCATCGGTTGAGCTCATTCCCCTCTCCCGCTACCCCTTTTCTAGGATGGTCGCGTACCACCAGTCAGGTGTCAGTGTACCACAGGTGGTACCCGTACCACTGGTTGAAAAGCCCTGATCTAAATTGTCTTAATTCTGAGAAAAGAACGTTTTGCAAATCTTAAAGGTGGATATTATAAACACGGAAAAGGGTCTTTTGACTCCTTCATTGCCCTTATTAATCCTTGCTTTTCCTTTCTGTAGCTGCAGGAGGGATCAACTATGGAGGAACAGAAGCATGTGGTGTGCAAAGAAGAAGAGGGAACAGAGAAAACGGGAAGAGACCCTCTCATTGTCCAAGTCAGGTCCATCGGGGACTTTTTGACCAACGATAGCCCATCCCACATTAAAATGGAGTCAGAGGATGAACTATACCAATGCTGGGACTCTGAAAGGCCGGAACTCTTGAAAAGAGTGGCAGGGTTTCCCATACCACCATCCCTTTTGGAGGACGATGCCAAGGACTTCCAGTTCCCTTTGGGGAGAGTCAAGGAGGATTTGCAGGAGGAGCGCTCTGGGGAGGCCAGAGGGAAAACTCTGCTCCAAAGGGATCTCAACATCAGTGGGAAAGCTTGGATGGGTAGGGAAAAGCTGGATTTCTGCATGAAGGTGAAGGCGGAAGAGACTCTGGAGGAAGTTGATCTGGAGAGCCAGGGCCCCCTGCATCTCAAGCCGTTCGTCCCGCAGGATGCTGAGGAGGTATTGGGCCCCCAAAGGCTGAAAGAGAGGGGAGGAAATGGGGTAGATAGTAAGGACTTACTGTAAAGACACTTTTTCATAATTGTATCTAACTACCTGTAAGATCATAAACACAGTCACTTTCACTGACCTTATTGTCAGCCCCAGTTATGGTCTATCTCAGTGTTTCCCAAACTTGACAATTTTAAGGCATGAGGACTTCAACTCCCATAATTCCACAGCCAGCGTTGCTGGCTGTGGAATTCTGGGAGTTGAAGTCCACATGCCTTAAAATTGTCAAGTTTGGGAAACACTGGTCTATCTGTACTCTTTCATTTCAAGAAACACAGTTTTGTACTTATATAAAACAAGTAATCCTCAGATTAGGAAGGCATTTGGAACTGGAATTTTTCTCTCTCGTTCAATGCCATTGTAACTTTGAATAGTTGCTGAATGAGTGGCCGTAATGTGAAGACTACTTGGAAACCAAACTTTCATACATTTGAGTTTCTATTCAACACTTTTTTCCTATTCACACTATTTATAAATACTGTCTGCAACTGCACACAGTATTAAACCAAGGCTTTAAAATGTTCCTATTGTTATGTGTCTGATTAACGAAACACTTCAAAGAACTTTCAGGCATTTTTTTAACCTAAAAAGCCTTTATTAGTGTTACAGAGATGTCAGCACGGCATGGTGGAAATGCTAAAATCTGAATTTCCCTGCCTTTGCACATAACATTCCAGGCATTTCCCCTCCCCTATTTTGGGGTCATGATTCACATCTTCCAATTAACTTGGAGGGCAAAGATTCACTTCTGTTTCTTTTACCCTGGGCTTTCTTTATTTTCTCCTCCCCTTTCACTGTCACCTGATTTAACTCTAAAAATACTAGACAGTTCTGCATATATTGTCAAAGCAAGAATATTCAATATTAGCAGCGTTGACACCTATGTTATAAATTCTCAGAATGATATCCAAAGATGTAAAAAGTAATAAATTATTAGTTTATTTTTAACAGAAAAATGTGTTAGAATTAACGACATCTTTGCAATAGAATGTACAAAATGTTGTTAAAAGTATCCAGTCGTAATAGAGTTGGAAGGGGCCTTGGAGGTTTTCTAGTCCAACCCCCTGTTCAAGCAGGAGACCTTATACCGTTTCAGACAAATGGCTGTCTGGTCTTTTTAAAAAAAAAAAAAAAAAAAAGCCACCAGTGATGAAGCGCTGGAGGATAACATGGCTGGCTCAGGAATTCTGGGAGTTGAAGTCCACGAGTCATAAAAGAGCCAAGGTTGCCTACCCCTGCTATAGGCCCACACCCATTCCTCTGCTTCACCATTTTATCAAGGCCTGTTCCTACACATTATCTCTCCTGTAATTAGATTAGACTGCCCAGTTGTGACTTTTTTGATCACACCCTGTTTTCCATGGAAAACATTAGCAGTCCTAATATGCTTCCACGTTTCTAAAATGAAACTAAATTTTTGTTCTAAGAGCAAAACTTGTTACACTTGTAAAAAATTTGGCAACAGATCTAAAACCCTGATGTAGTGCTGGGGATATATTTTATTGTTTTGCTGCATTGAGTTTGTAGGGAAAAAAATGCACATTGTAGAAATAAAATTACCGTTACTGCTGTACAAGAAATGCATACTCTCGGGGTTTTTTTCCTTCTCAGTTACACTCATTTTCTTCCTTGCATAATCCTCCAGATCCCCTATTGAGCCTCAGTCTGCAAATTTTTCAGGAGATAAAAGCTCAGGCTGATTTTGGCTGGATTGAGAAGATAATCATAGTGACTTGGGATGGGAGACCACTGGGAAACCCTTTAGAAGAATCATCACAGGGAAGCCAGTAACAGTTTATCTTCCTTTGTATTGTCAAGGAAACAAGGTAGACTTACCTTGAAATAAACAAAAAAATTGACAGGTTCTTGTAAAAGTTGGTCCATAAATAAATAGGCTGGTCCATATGGACCTTCTGTAGGGGAAATAGTGGCAGAATCTGGGGATGGAATTAAAAGAGGGATCAGCCTAGAATCACTACGTAGCCACAAGCAAACTGAGTCCAACCTTCTTTGACTTCTGTTGACCTGTATCTAATTCCTAGCACGTGCTAACCGTTAGTTGAGAAAATTCCTGAGATAGGCACAAATAGCAATAAATAAGTTTAATTTGACCTTCCTGTGTAGTCCTGGTCTTTTGCACCTGACACCTTCAGCAGCCAGGCATCTCTGAATATCAGCTGGTAATGATGGATTTAATAATATAATAGTAGTAATAGTAGTAGTAATAATAGTAATAATAATGATGTTGGAAGGGACCTTGGAGGTCATCTAGTCCAACCCCCTGCTCAGGCAGGAAACCCTATACCATTTTGGACAAATGGCTGTCCAGTCTCTTCTGAAAAACTTCCAATGTTGGAGCATTCACCACTTCTGGAGGCAGGTTGTTCCACCAGTTAATTGTTCTAATTGTCAGTAAGTTTCTTCTTAGTTCTAGGTTGCTTCTCTCCTTGATGAGTTTCCATCCGTTGCTTCTTGTCCTGCCTTCAGGCACTTTGGAGAATAGCTTGACTCCCTCTTCTTTGTGGCAGCCCTGGAGATATTGGAACAGTGCTATCATGTCCCCCCCTCGTCCTTCTCTTCATTAAACTAGACATACCCAATTCCAGCAGCCGTTCCTTATAGGTTTTAGCCTCCAGTCCCCTAATCATCTTTGTTGCTCTTCTCTGTACTGTACTGTTCTCATAACACATCTCACACCCTTTCAGAAACAAAACTCCCAAGCTTAACCTGTGCAAATGCAGCCTGAGCTCTGCTCAGTTAAAACTGTAAAAAAAATGAGGTCATGTGATCTTGTGCTTAGCAACCTGCCACTTTGCTTAAGGATGGAAGGGAAAGTGACATCATAATGGTCAGGGTCATATGATTTTACTGTTTAGCAACTGGGATGCTTAACAACCTAATCTCCAGGCTCCAAAAAGGAGTTTAGATCCTTTTGAGATGCCGGAGACAAAAAGAGCTCATTCTGTGCTCACAGGACCTTGTGTGTAAAAGGCCCCAAACCTGCAGGCCCCAGTTGTATTACTAGCAATTTGTTCAATTTTTATTCAGAAGCGACAGAAAGTTGGAAGTCCTAGGTAGGTAAGTGGCTGTTTCCAGGTGGGGAGAGATTGACGGGATGTATGCCAGTGGGAAGAAGATGCCAGGTGAGTTGGGGGGGTGCAGGTGTACGAGCTTGGGTGTGAGGGTGCGTGGGAGGGCGGCAGTGGTTGAAGATACACGGCGAAGTGGGGAAGGTGCGATATCGGTCAGGGAAGATGCATGAGAGATGCCACTTGGGTTAGGGAGGGCACGGGGTTGTGAGTGGGTATGAGGATGCAAGGGAGGCAGGCAATGGCCAGGCAGGGTGCGCGGGCATGCAAGTGGGTTTGCGAGATAAGATTGAGCGAGTCCAGAGAAGGGCAACAAAAATGGTGCAAGGTCTGAAGGACAAAACATCAGGAGAGATTGGAGGCACTCAATATGTATTGCCTGGAGGACAGGAGGGAAAGGGGGCATGATTGAAACTTTTAAATCATTAAACAGGGGAAGTACCTGAGGATTGGAAAAGGGCTGATGTGGTTCCCATCTTCAAGAAAGAGGGGGGGGGGGGAACAGACCCAGGAAACTATAGACCAATCCGCTAAATATCAATACCTGGGAAAATCCTGGAAAAGATCATTAAAAAAAAAACAGATCTGCGAACAACTAGAAGCAAACAAAGTCATAATCAATAGCCAGCCCTGTTAAAAGCAGATCATGCCAAACCAATCTTATTTCATTCTTTGATAAAGTATTAAACTAGTAGACCAGCGAAATGCTGTGGACGTAATATACTTAGATTGCAGTAAGGCATTTGATAAAGTAGACCACAACCTACTCCTTGGTAAGCTAGAAAAAGGTGGAATAGAGTAGACAACATCACCACCAGATGGATCTGTAGCTGGCTGACAAACTGTACTCAATGAGTAGTCCTCAACGGCACTACATGAATATGGAGAGAAGTAAGCAGTGAGGTACCACAAGGTTCCGTCTTGGGCCCAGTACTCTTCAACATCTTCAACAATGACTTAGTTGAGGGAATTGAAGGGGAACTCATGAAATTTGCAGATGACACCAAACTGACAGGAGTAGTCAACACCCCAGAAGACAAACTCAGGATCCAAAAAGATCTAGACAAACTTGAACAATGGGCCCTATCCGAGAAAATGAGTGTCAATGTGGAGAAAAGCAAAGTTTTACATTTAGGCAGGAAAACTCAAAGGTATAAGTACAGATTGGGTGAGACCTGGCTTAAAAACAGTAACTTTGAGAGGGACCTTGGAGTCTTAGCGGATGATCAACTGACCATGAGCAAGCAGTGTGCAGCAGCAACCAAAAAAGATAATACAATCATTGTATAAATAGAGGCATAGAATCAAGATCACACAAAGTATGTTGAGAGTTTGGAAAAAATTCAGAGAGGAGCAACTAAGATGATCAAAGGCCTGGAGACTAAAACATACGAAGAACGGCTGCGGGACTTGGGTTTGGCTAGTCTAAAGAAAAGAAGAAATAGGGAAGACATGATAGAAGTATTCCAGTATCTGAGGTGCTGCCACAAGGAAGAGGAGGTCATGTTGTTCACCAAAGCACCAGAAGGAAGGACAAGAAACAATGCTTGGAAACTGATCAAAGAGAGAAGCAACCTGGAATTAAAGAGAAACTTCCTGACAGTGAGGACAATCAACCAGTGGAACAGCTTATCCCCAGAAATTGTGGGCGCTCCATCACTGGAGATTTTTAAGAGACTAGACAATCACCTGTCTGAGATGATATAGGTTCTCCTGCTTGAGCAGGGGGCTGGACTAGAAGACCTCGAAGGTCCCTTCCAGCTCTATTCTATTCTAAATTGATTAAAGGTGTGAATAAGGTTCTAGATGGCAATATTTTTAATATTAAGCAAAAATCAAGAACACAGGCATAACAAGATGACTGAAGGCTAAAACATATAAGGAACGGTTGCTGGAATTGGGTATGTCTAGTTTAATGAAGAAGGACGAGGGGGGACATGATAGCAGTGTTCCAATATCTCAGGGGCTGCCACAAAGAAGAGGGAGTCAAGCTATTCTCCAAAGTGCCTGAAGGCAGGACAAGAAGCAACGGATGGAAA